GGGGGGGGGGGACAAAGTTGTTTCCCATTAACCTTAATCTTGGGGGGTGGGGGTGGTTTGGGGGGGGGGTTCTCTGTTATATAGATCCACAGTGACAATCGTCTCCCCCCCTCCCCCACCCACTTTTTGTTTAGATTAAGCCACAGAGTGAAACGTGAACGAAATCAATACTTGTATGGGTACATTAATAATATGTATGATAGTAAATGTCTTAGATCAGTGGTTCTCAACCTGTGGGTCGCGACCCCTTTCAGACGTCGAGTGAACCTTACACAGGGGTCGCCTAAGACCATAGGAAAGCTCATATTTATGAAGTAGCAACGAAAATCATTTTTATGGTGGGGGGGGGGGGGGGGGTCATCAAAGCATGGGGACCTGTTTTCCTTTTTTTTTTCTTTTTTTTTTCCCGTTCAAGACAATGAAGCTTGTTCAGACACTTTACGTCGCCTAATTTTGCTATCATATGAAATCGTCCCTTCTTTATCGTCTGTTTGTTCCAGAAGGTGAAGGCCATGGCCGTACCCTACACCCCGGTCCACTACCTGCTCATGGGCGTCAGCGGATTCGTCTTCTTCTCGTTTGTTACCGGACTTGTTTACCTCTGCATACGAGAGAAGAGGAAAGGGGCGCTAGCCAGGAAACAATACTTACGGGTAAGAATTCGAACCGTCTTATCCCTAAAAACGTGTTCAAATACCTTTGGCCATGGCGCAGATTACTTTTCTTGAAGTTTGATGCCATAGGGAAGTGTGTCTGATTAATGGGCTTACACTTATGTGGTCAGATCGGGTGTTCACCTTTGAGCAAGCAAGCCCCTCCGTTTTCATGCTTTCTTGCCTCGGGGAATGTAAGATAATGTTAAAGAGATGACAACAAACATCACATATCTCATTATACACCTAATTGTACCGTTTAAAAAAAAAAAAAAGAAACGGTTATCGGAAATTTGTTTGAAAGAAATTTCGTCGACGGAAAATTGATCGATGGAAATTTGATCGATTTTTTTTTTTTTTTTTTTTATATAATTAAATTTT